GACTCTTAACAGCGATGTCTTGAGAGCCGGTGAGGGTTATTGAAGTGAATATGGAGCGGCGCGGGAATGAAGGGGCGGGGGAAACGGGAGATCCCGAGAAAACCCACCCACCAATGGCATCGCCCTGCACAATTCCCACTTGCGAAAATCCGATGCCCGGCCGGATATTGAACCTGGTTCGCCTTGGTGGGAGGCGAGCACGCTAATCGCTGAGCCACCGTGGCCCCTAGTGCATCTATTTTTCTTACAAAACTTCGTAATGAAAATTTATTACCAGATATAATAATTCAACGCTAGACATGGTACAGAGGACTACTTAACGATTTTTTTGTTCGTGCGGTTTTTATTATACCTGTATTTTCCCGTGTAGAATTGGCATTATTAAATAAGTACGTAATATTTGATTACGGCTACACATGTGCAACGCATGAAAAAAAAGGTTGGATTTTGAAATGACTGTTAAGAAGTTCCATATGCATTGACCAGGTTGGTTTTTAAATACCGACTCCGAAAATTAAGTTGGCCCCCTGATCAAAGGAATTTCGCCCGTCCGAGGCCTAAACGCGTGGGAGCGCTAGGGTCGACCGAGACATGCGCATCAACTCTCTCGTCGCCTCTATGCGCAAAGCACTGAACTGGCATGAAGTCTTGTCGTAAATAACGCGTTTCTATGACACTTTTAGCGGACACCATACCATTTTATGACGTAATAATAAAAATTATGGTGTAATGTACGTCCCTATTCCTTTTTTAATGTTTTGTATCGGAATGTTCATAACGAAAAATGACAGCCATTTTCACTACCACAATAAATGCTTTAGAGAGAAATGGAGGAACTGAAAAACGTATACAGACGCGTAACGTTTCTTATAGGCTATTCACGGTAAAGTGAGCACTTTTAAAAGTTCTCTCATTTGGAATACTAGTAGGTAATTTTTTTTAATCCTTAGACGTTAATTCCTAGTGCTGTGGAATATACATACTGTGTTTATTACTCACACGGCAACATTTATTTTAAAAGGTGGTTGAAGGATAAAAAATGACTGAAAGAAAAAAGTAACTAGGGCCTCAAAAGTGCTCACTTTGCCGTGAACAGCCTACAAATACTATTCACAAGCAGACTTCACAGCAGACGACACGTTGGACGGTTTTGTAATAAAACGTTTTCTGCTGGAGCTCTGCATGCACACCGCCTAGCGTGTTGCCTACCGTGACTGCCACTTAATGTTATGGAGGGAAATACGTAAATCCAAGATGTCAAGGACACTACCCCCTTAAGGAAGGCGGTCGCCTAGTGAGCGGGGTGTTTGTGTGAGGCGAAAATCGATCAAGCGATACGGGCGAAACCGATCGTCGCATGTAAAGTGGTATCGCCTCTACGAGCAAGGGTGGGGCCGCGGTGGTGCTCGCCTCCCACCGAGGCGAACCGGGCTCAATTCCCGGCGGGGTCACCGGATTCTCGCAAGTGGGAATCGTGCCGGACGATGCAGTTGATTTGCCGGTTTTCTCGGGGATCTCCCGTTACCCCCGCCCCTTCATTCCGGTCCCGCTCCATATTCACTTCGAACACCCTAATCGGCTGCTAAGAGCCGCCCAGATCTCTTCACTTACTCACTCAAGGAGCGCCGTGTATTCTTACCGTCGGCGACTCGCCTGAACGCGGCTTTGTAATTTTATGAATGCGACTCTGTGGCAAAGTCCACTCCATGCCTCCATCGTAGTTTGACATCCAGTTCATACATTTTGAAATACATAATTTAAAAAAAAAACTGGTTTTTAGCTATGCTGAGGTCATTAAAATAATGTGTCCAGTGTGCGTGATGTCTTCAAAGTACCACTCCGTCATTGGCTGTAATGTCCCTTCTTTCCACAGGTAAATCTATTGTGGGCACGCTTATTATCCTTGCACTGTTACTTCACACTTTTCTGAAGCCCTACTGAAGTTATACGTCCAGGATATTCCTCCGCCTCATTTAAACAAAGCTTAACCAAGTCTAGGGAACTACACTAGAGAGACAGCGCAGCTCCTTCGTTCGCACTCAGTGTAATACAATTTTGCATAAGAACTAGTTCTTACTAAACATTGCCAACACACCTACTTCCTCCCTGTTGTTTATTTAAATTATAAGTTAAACATAATTTATATAAAAAATATAAGTTGAGATTCTATTTAACCAACAATAATGTTATTTGATATTAACACAAATATAAAACATTCGAGATGAACGATATATATAGGAAACAGCCAAACGCATCATACATGGGGTGATTTTTCAAAGGTTCGATTCAAAAAATGTGAAAAAACCGCGAATAGACTATAATAGTTTCGTGGGAGAAAAAAAAAAAAGCTTTTTCCAAACACGCTGCAAAGCATTTCAAACACGTAACAAGCGGAACACATGCATACTGAAGTCTTTTCTAACCACTTACTGTCTGTAATAAATGTTAACATAAACAGTGCAACCACGCCAGCGGAATCAAGGAAATGGCTTGAAGTAAAATAAAACGCGTTACAGTTCTTCTTAGTTTGTCGGTGCCGTGGTAGGAATAAGTGCATGTTGTGAAACATACTGCCATCTTCAACCCTCCATTTCTGTCATCACGCCCTAGGGCTGCTGGCTTACAACTCAACACGTGTTACACTGGAGGCGACTATACTATCCAATCACGAAGTCTTGCGATTAAAGGCTCGTACACAATTGGAAACTTTAACATTTGACTTTACAATTACTTCTCGACATGTTGTTTCTTATGGAACTTGAAACAATGAAACTGTCAACGCTATAGTCAAGCACTCTTGACTTTACGTTATCGGAAAGTTGAAATTTTAAAGTCAAAGTCAAGCCGCCATTTTGCCGAGAATATAACAGAGGTTATGTGAAATATGTATTATCTTATTGTAGAGAGATTTTCACTCATCATATTAAACAAAGCTCGTTCTAAATTAAATAAAGGGCAAACGAATATATTGTGAAGAGGAAATGTGTGAATTTTTATTTTTGAATAAAGTAAACAAGTTAGATTTTGTTTTCAAATAACCTTTCAGGATAAATTTTTAGCCTGTTTTTAAAAAAAAGGTACGTAAAATGCATTCCTGGATAATACGATGATAATTTACATAACAAGATACACATTTTTACGAAACTCTCAGAACCGATGTTCAATTGTCTGAACTCTGACTTTACAACTGGAACAGCGTTCCGACATTTTGCTGAAGTGTACGGTGGGAGTTGGCGCAACAAGTGGCTGTATTGCACGCTTTGTCTTCTGTAGTCGGTGCTTGAGCTTGTATACAGGGTCCTTATTTCTTATGCACGAATGGGCAGAGGCCACACTGCGATAATTCTAGATTTAGAGTTAATGTCCGTAAAACTGCTCTCTTGCTATTTTAGCTGTCATTTGTATGTTGCCGAGGACTGCCAGGAAGACGTCTTTAAACACCAACATATTCTCACCCAACATTTACGAAAATTTTAAACCGCCCAGGCCCATATCAAGTTATGATATCGGGCGTTGCAAATGAGAAAATGCTTAACGCTTACTGTACTTAAATATACACAGGAATTGTTTTGCTATCACGACCATTACTCTCTAGGCTCTTTTTTTTTACTTTAAAAATGTGAAACATTTATAACCTATAGGACAGCTTGCCATTTACGAATCAGGTACCCGCGAGGAAGATCATTGGGTACTGACCCTCCCACTGTACAGTACCGGGCGAAAAAAAAAATCTTCCCATTCTTTATTTACATAATTGTATACACAAGGTCTGAATAGGATAATAAGCCTGAAACATATAATTTTCGCAAAATACATTTGTCTAGTCGTAACGACGAAATATGTTAATAAGAAAAACTTTACTAAAGTACGTGTGAGGATCGCAGTTTCCAATAGGTTGTTCGCGGTTACTTACGCCAATTTTAAACCAACCTATGAATAATGTCAATGCCCCTGCCTGCATATATTTTGATGGGCACGCCGAGTGATTTTTCGCTCAGGAAAACTGGCAAGTAGGACCGGTGAACAGCCTTTAACAGGATAATATGGGATAGCCGATACGGCTGGTGTATTGGGAAGACGTGGCAACGCTGCAGGACGGTGTTTCATTTCACGCGCCGAGGCAATTCCGCGCTTGGAAAAGAGCGGATCTCGCGATAGCGGGAGGTGTGACCGGCCAGACCAGCCCAGCAGAATCTGCGTGCTCGAAGGAGCCGTCACAGCTGTCGTCCATCTATTGTTACTTCCAAATTTCGTGAAGCCCGGCTGAAGTTATGCTTCCAGGATATTCTTCCGCCTCGTGCAAACAAAGCTAGAAAATTACACTAACGGGACAGCATAGCAACTATTGCTTAAAGGCTGTTCGCAACAATGTGAGCACTACAGAAATGAACCTTAGAAAAATGTCACTGCCCCTGCCTGCTTATATTTTAACGGGAGCACTGAGTAATATCCGTCGAGTAATGTTGGTAATGATCGATGGAAAGTAGTTCCAAATCTTAACGACGAATAAAAAGTGTTAGCTGACGATTTGTGATAACTTAAATTATTTGTTTAGGTTTCTGTTTGTTTTACGGCGTCGACGTGAACAAATGAGCTGATTTGTAAAATATTTATTTTTCTGATAATTTCACAGTTTCACTTGACCGATGCATGAATAAAGTGATGAGGACAAAGGCAATGTTAATTTTACATAAGGCGGAAGAATGCACAACGTGCATACAAGTATATCTTAAGCAGGGCTTTCAAAAGTGCTCACTTTACCGTGAACAGCCTATACCTATTTTCTCCCTGTTTTTATTCATATTATTTATAAATGAAATATTACAATTTATGAATTAAATATAAGTTACTGTTCAATTTAACAAAAAATGTGGTATTTTTATGTTAACAAAGTATAAAACGCTCTGATACCCGAAACAACCAGGTACATCACACGTGGGGACATTTTTCTAAAGTTTGGTTCAAAAAGTGTGACGAAACTGCGAATAGAACATAGAGACGATGGTGTGCTGGTGGTTTAACGTGCCTCGTTCCCAATCAGTAGGTCGTTGGTTCGATTCCAGCCACCTACTGCCCGGTATCTTATTCCCCCCCCCCTCCCCCTTCACTTCCTCCTTTCTGGAATGGTAACCAATCCTCACTCCGGGTGAACGCTAATTGCAAAACTTTTTAATATTTTGTTTTATTTTTACATTTTCTGCCAAGCCGGGTACGTGTGTTCTGGATCCCGTAGCCAACGCTAACAAAATCAAAGCAGGATCACTTTAAAATGCTCATAATTTCATTGAATAATTCCGGTTCTTAATTGGGATGTAGCTGCTCGTCCAAGGTCAAGAAGCGAGGGAGCGATACGGGCGACACTAACACCCACTTCTAGCGCCTCATCGCTCCTACGCGCAAGACGTGCAGTGTTTCCGTCGTAACGCTGTACTGTGCTAATTAGATCTGTAATAGTGGGGTTTTATTACACGCGATGAAAACCCACGGATGAAACTACGCATGTACGTTTGTACGCTTTAAAGATGCGATATTTGACTATTTTCACGATTTTTTTTCTTCTCAAGTATACTCTTAGTATGACAAAAGTAAAAAAAAAAAAAAAAAATAGGGGCATAGATAATTGGTTTTTATCTTTTCTAACAAAAAGTCTTATTTGCAAAATATTTATTTACCGAGATACGCCTATTCGAGCAAACAACTATTTCACAGAAAATGTTTTAATACATCCTCCTCTTAACTGCTAAGGTGAGGAAATAAAATTAATACATTTGTTTTAATCGTTGTGGTTTTATGCGTTTCGGCTAACTGGGGTTTTCATCGCATATCAGAATATTTCTAATCCCTTCCTGAATAACGCACAACCGATATTTGAACCCAAAACATCTCCAGTGACGACTCATTAAGTTAACGTGTTATCTGCGATCCTTTCCTGCAGGTCGCCCAATTCTATGAATTTGCGTATTACCGTGTACGTAGGTTAATCGTCAATTCAGAGGATTTTTTTTATAGCAATACTACAGCAAGGGAAAGTTAGTTGCTGAATTCTTTTCATAGTGGCAGGTATAAATGTGAACTGACAAAAATAATTTTAATCATAGAAAATAAAATTTTCACAGACGGATACAATTGGTAACAGGAAGGCATTGGCGCAGGGTATTTCGCAAAACAACGTTGAAAGTAAAATACTGCCAGGTGTAATTGAAGTAACGATCTGTGATTGTCAGTAGTGTTTTCTGATGGTTGCTTTTCGGAGCGAGATAACGGTAACAAGTCACGAACTGAATGACATATCACGAAGCGAACATAATTACGAGAAGAGCTGTGGCTGTAACGAAGCTGTATTTACGTAGGCCTGGTGATCTTCGTACGAGTCTGTTTGCATGGGGGCCATTCCGCCTATGGAATTAGCTTTGTGTTATCAGCATATCTGTTAAAAACGGCTGACTTTGGCACGTTTTCATTTTATTTTATTTTTATGTGCACGTTAATTTATGCCGTATTATGTTTTCTTCAGCTACTTACAACAAATTTCTGCATTGTGTTTTCTTTTAGCATTTATGTTGTGAACAATCAGCAATGGTTCTGTTTTTTATATGTGTGGAAAAAGGTACATGAACTTGTATACTTTTATTGTATGTGATTAGGTGTATTTAATGTTGTGATTTAATAAATCATTTGATTTTGTTCGGGACTCACTCAAACGAAGAAACGTTTGCCCTACAAACATAGTGAGTTACACTAATATGCCTTCTTACGTAGCACTTGAACTGCTTTACAAATTATTTGAAATCCACCTTTAAAAAAAAAAAAGGAAATTACGAAGTATGTTCTCAGTTTGATCTAATAGGAAGAACCTATTCACTATACGAAGTAGGAATGTTATTTTTTTGTTTCAAGACATCGCGCGTATTAGAAACATCACTTTATCGAAGTCCTCTGGCACAGACCTTTTTAATGTGTAGTCTCTCAAATAAGTTATTCGAGTATACGATAAACTAGAGCAGACAACTTCGTAAAAGTGTTGGAGTACTCGATGTGAATGCCAGTATAGCCTTTATGCTCACACTAACGTATTTGGGGCCACGGTGGCTGAGCGATTAGCACGCTCGCCTCTCACCAAGGCGAACCGGGTTCAATCCCCGGCCGGGTCACCGGGCTTTCGCTAGTGGGGAATCGTGCCGGACGATGCCGTTGGTCGGTGGGTTTTCTCGGGGATCTCCCGTTTCCCCCGCCCCCCTCATTCCGGCACCGCTCCATGCTCATTTCAATCACCCTCGTCGGCTCTCAAGACCTCGCTGCTAAGAGCCGCCCAAATCTTTTCATTCACTCACTAACGTATTTACCTCAGACTCGGAGAACAGTTCCAGGTTGGCGGACTCCTTGAAATAAAGTAAACAAGAACACAATATAAAAAGTGTTATCACCAGGGTGTGTGCGCGATAGCAGCGTACTTTCCGACAACGAAGAAGAAAGAACTGCTTGATACTGAATAACCCGTGCTTTTATACACTGGTCGGTTGACATCTTCCAGTTGCAAGCGTGAAATCTGCGCGTGTGAGGAGTGACGGCAGTTTTATGCGGAATCAATGGTTGAAACAGCAAACAAACTCGTCGAAGATGAAAGCCAGCGGCGAAATAAGCACAAGCAACACAAGAGCCGAGCCATTATTGCCCGTCATCGTTGGGTGGCGACAAGCTCTCCGCGCCCATACGACTACACTTTGAGTAAACTTTGTGATTTTGTGCACAACTAGGCGCATGTATAGGCTATTCACGGTTAAGTGAGCACTATTTAAGGTCCTCCAAACAGGCATTACCCACTGATAAGGATGTTAACTTTTTGTAATTGTAATATGTACATACTGTGTTTATTAGTCACGTGGCAGTGTTTATATTAAATAGAGGCAGAAAGACAGAAATTGGCTGGAAGGAAAAATCTAGCAGAGCCTTAAAATTTGCTCACTTTACCGTGAACAGCCTGTAACACCCGCGATGTAGACACAGGAGTTATTGCAACAAGACCCTGGCTTTGTAGGTCACTGTCTCCGGACTGGTGATCATCGAGGCACTGTCCACACGCGAATTTCTGTTAGATTCATACAACAGTTACTGTTGTCTGTTTGCGGTTTCTTCACGCTTTTTGAATCAAACCTTTGAAAAATTACCCCATGTATAATGTGTTCGGGTGTCTCCTAAGTATGCCATGCATTATAAACATTTTATATTTCTGTCAACACTAAAGTACCTTATAATTGGTTAAACTGAACTATTACTTATATTCTATTTATAAATTATTATAGTCCATTTATATTTAATGTAAATTAAAACAGGAAGAAAATTTGTATGTGGGTAATGCATATAAATAAATAGTTCTTATGCAAAACGCTATGCAACCGTGGGTGTAAGAATGCGGTGCGTTGTCCCTCTGGTGTAATTTTTTTTGGACAAAATAAAGCTTTGTTTGCATAAGGTGGAGGCATATATTGGAAGTAGAACTTAAGCAGGGCTTAAGAAACGTTAGAATTAGGCCTAACCGTGAATATACCATACTGGCACTGCGACGATCTTAAGTGGCGCATTATAGGCGGTCACGTCGAGTGAAACGTCAATGTGAGACATTTCATGTATGTGTTCTCGCTGCCAGAACCTCGGGATCGTAATCCCGCCGAGTGGTTTCTTTTAGGGATCCCTGAAGTAACTAATGTGTCTTGTATCTGTGGGTAGCTTCGAGGAATGGAGAGTTAATTTTGATGCTGCTTGTAGCTCTTGTTTTCAAAGACGATCAGCCAGAGTACACGCGGCTGGTCCGTGCCGTGCACTAATACTCGAAATAAGGCTCGTTTCCTACACTTATGTCTTTTTCGAATTTAAATTTCAATGCAGTAAGACCGTGTACGTCATGTATCAGCCATCCTATATAATTCAATGACCGTAAACAGTCGCATGCACTATATTTTCAGTGTATCACCAGTACCGAAATTTTCACTTCGATGAAGACACTTTCCAGCTCAGTTATGTCTGCTTTCGTGTGGCTCCTCGGTCATTCCGATTGAGGCCGGCCTATCACTTCGTACCAGAGGTTGAGAAGATCAGATGACATCAGATCTAGGGTCGTCAAATCTGGTGGAATTTTTTTCTAGTGGCAAAATAATGGGCATAAACTGCTTGCATTTGCCTTGCAACAAACACGAAGGTCGTCCACCAATGAGAGGAAAACTTCATTCAGCAGTGTACAACACTTGAGTAATACCAAGTTTATATAGGGGGACGTGATGGTGTAGTGGTTAGACTACTCGCCTCCCGCCTAGGTGTACCGGGCTCGATTCCCGGTGGAGCCGCTCCCGGATTCTTGCATGTGGAAATTGTGCCTGACGATGTAGTTGGTCGGCTAATTTTCTCGGGGATCTTCCGTATCTCCCTCCCCTTCATTCCGGCGCTTCTCCATACTCACCTGCTTCACCCTCATCGGCTTTCAAAACCTCGACGCTAAGAGCCGCCCAAGTCTCTTCACTCGTTCACCAAGCGTATGTGTAACTGATTCTCCCAATCCTCTTCCGTAAAGTGTCTGCGAACTTTACAGCACATGCATGGACCATATACTCACACAGATGAAAGTAGGGCAGAGAATCATGATCAGTGGGACCACCTTACTTTTGGAGAACTAAGCTAATACTATCGAACTTTTTTAACTTCAGGGCTATCACAGAACCTATCCAATTCCCCAGATCTTTAAACACATCAAGTACGCTAATGTGAAGTTTAAACATTCGGCAGGAGTGGTAGCTCTATTTAGAATCGCACATTAAAAAAAAAAAAAAAGATTTCACACGAAAGTGAGGTATTCCAGCCAGTTCTAAAAGTTATGGCGGAGAAATCTTGTCATACTACCATTGCCACGAACCGTAAGTACCGGTAAGGTAATACACATTTACCACACACTCGAATCGCTTCAAAACAACGAACACGACCGGAAAAAAACATACAAATGCAGCACGAGTCTTGCGTACAGAACGTACTCTACTTAGCACGTGTGAGAAGACTCCGCCAACAACACGGATATTCCACCAACTTA